TATTAATTATCATTAAAAAAATAATATTTAATATTTATTTAATTAATATTAACGATTTAAATAATATAGTGATAATCTTTTTCCGTTAAAAGTAATAAATTTTGAATTCGAGTCGTATTACGTATTAATGAGGTGGGATAAAAAATGAAAGATAATTACTTCTTATTGTACAATCAAGATAAAAAAATATTTAATTAATCATTTAATTTTTAAAAAATACATATAAAATTTATGATAAAATTAATATCAATTTATATTTTATTTAATAATAATTAATATTAAAAAATATATTAATTACATGTCTAAAGGTACAGATTAAATAAATAAATTAAAAATGCAGTCATTATCCAATACACCCAGACTCAGCGCATTATGATCGCCACGATGCGCTCCGAAAGCGAAGCGAAGTAATGAACCCCGTTCCTTTCACTCTCCCCTAAAAAAATCCATCATTCATAATTAAAAATTAATTCTCCTTAAATACTCTCTACTCTGGCCGGAGTATATTCATTTCATTTCACGGCACCCCAACTTCGAACAACTCCAGAAAATCCATTCTTCAATGTAGTAATCAAGATCAAGGAGATAGGAAAAACTATTCCCGGAAAAAAAGAAATTAGGGTTTTTGATCTCGTTGTCAAATGCCGTTGACAAGGTACCAGATACGGAACGAGTACAGCTTGGCCGATCCGGAGCTGCACAGAGCCGCCGATAAGGATGATCCTGAGGCTTTACTTGAAGGAGTCGCCATGGCCGGACTCGTCGGCGTCTTGCGACAGCTCGGCGACCTTGCCGAGTAAGCTTCTCTTTCTATCTATCCTTCTCATTTTTTTTTGTTGTCGCGTCATTTGCTGTTTCTGTGGATTTGCTTGAGTTTGAGCTTGAATTGTGCTTGTTGGCGGGATGCTGAATTGGTTTGGTTTGGAATTCGAAGTTCTCGGTTCTATTTGGAATTGAAGTATTAGATTTAGGCTCTGTGATTAGATTGGTGAACTTTTTGTTTGTTTGCATTTTTATTCTTGTCAAGTTAGTTGTCTAAAAGGTTCTGAGTTAGATTGGTAATTAGAATGCTGAACCAGTGGGGTTATGGTTTCTAATTTTAAGCATTGGATTGCTAATGACGGCAATCTGAAATGTGCAATGGGGAATTTTGATTGGAGAACATTAATATGAAATTCGGGAAATTTGTTTTATGTTTTATATGGTCAACTGGGTTTCCAATTTGTGCGCATCTTGTATCCCTAGCCTTTTCAAATTATAGAGATATATGACCAATTCAACAATTCTACATTGGCTTTGAGTCTTGCGGTTGGCAAGTTTTCATTACTGACCTAAGTTACTGAAGGGCATGGTACTTCCTATTGCCTTAACTACAGATCCTTTTGTAGGTGCATCAGTTATGCTGATTGTTTTCCATTTCCTTCCATTGTTGAAATGTTGTGTTCAGCCATTTTATATCTTAATTTTCTTTTTCTTTTTGAATATGTTTAAATTGTCTTTCCTTGATGCTGATAAAGGTTTGCTGCTGAGATATTCCATGACTTGCATGAAGAGGTAATGGCAACTGCTGCTAGAGGTCATGGTCTGGTGGTTCGTGTTCAACAGCTAGAGGCAGAGGTCCCGCCACTTGAGAAGGCATTACTGTCGCAAACAAATCATGCATCATTCTTTACCAATGCAGGTCAGGTTTTTCTTTGTGCAATAACTTTTGAGTGAAACATTGAATATACAGTCATTATTAGGTATATTATTAACAGAAAGTTTGTCACCTGTCTTAGCTTCTAAATTGCCTTCCTTTGAGATGATTGTCATATATATGCATTATCCTTGCAGGTGTGGAGTGGCATCCTAATCTTCACACTGAGCAAAATCTGATTACTCATGGGGACTTGCCTCGTTGTGTGATGGACTCTTATGAAGAATGCCGAGCTCCACCTCGTTTATTCCTTTTGGACAAGTAAGACTACCTGATTATTATTAACTCAAGCCTAATTTGTTGTGAGGAATGTGCAGTTATATAGTTTAGATTCTAATCTACTATATTGCAACATAAGCCTCTAAAAAAACAATTTGCAAAATATATCAGATTTGATGTTGCGGGTGTGGGGGCATGTTTGAAGCGTTACACTGATCCATCATTCTTTAAAGTTGAATCAGCATCCTATGGAGTTGCAACTGTAGAAAATCAAAGAGAAAAGAAAATTCGCAAAGGAAAGGTATTGCCTTCAAAATTTGAAAGCTTATTGCATTGTGAGGGACCTTATTTTTTTGGCTAGTTAGGCTTGTCAGAACCTGTTGTTTGATTGAATCCCGAGTGACAGTGCTATGTGCCTCCTCCAGTCTAGTGTGTCTGAGAACTACATGTTTGGAGGTTGCTTTAATCCTGTTGCATTGTGCATTAGTTACATAAAGTAAAACAGGTCTCTATAATGACTTAAAACTCCCGAGTATCCATAATTGTACCCTATTTGCCTGTGGTTTTTAGGGAAAACCTTTGGCTTGTGACAGAAAATATAGAAAGTCCTCCATATGATAGTTTTAATGGGATCAAGATTTTCATTTACTCTAGAGTCTAGAAAAATGTTATTGTTCTATTTTAATGTGCACAATAGGTATTCATGAATCTGTCTTTTAGCAGAAGATTTTGTATTTAGGGGCCTAGTCTGTTTGGCATGCACTGGTTGCATTTGGGTAATTTGCAAAAAGTGCATTAAAATGTAAGTTTAGATATCTAGGTTTCCCAAACAAAGCAAGTTAATAACAGTTAGGAGTAGGTAATTTAGACTACTGAAATTTCTTCCCATCGTTGTGAAATCTTCTTTTCTATTTCTCCATGTTAATAATGGGCTTATGAGATTAAAAGTCGGTTTGGTTATGGTCTTCACAATCAGTATGCTAGGATCAGTGTTTAATTTCAGCAAAACTTCCACGAAGTTCAGACTTGTGTCTTGATGATCCTGAATCTTGTGTTTCTGATAGAAGAAAGGATCACGCTGGAGGAATGGAGAGACCCCAGAAGTTGTTCCTTCATCCCATGCCAAGTTAGTCCTTGAATTCCATGTTTGTGCTTTGGGTTTCCTTCTTGTTGATTAGATGTTCATGTAATGTTGATTGATAGCAAAATGTCTTGGACAATGCAGACTTCATCAGTTGTTCTTGGAGGAGCGAATTGAGAATGCATATAGTGACCCTACCCGTCGTGTGAAATTGAAGAGAAGGCAATTAAATGCATCTCCACTTGACCCCAAATATGGGAAGAGTTACATGGAGAAGTTCCTGGAGACTCCTTCCCCAGAGCATAAAATGGTTTATGAAACCTCTGTTACTCCACCACTCGTAACATTATCATCAGATCAATTTTGTGAATCAGGGCTTGAAATAATTGAAATTAGTACAGTGAGCCCTCTGAAAAAAGCTTCTCGAGGAAAGGAGAGCACATTTTCATCACCTAATGCAGAGGAATTGGTTATTAAACCATTCATGGAAGAATCAAATGGAGATGTCATAAATGGAGAAATTGTGAATATGCACGAGTCAATTGTTGATGGTCACGTGGATGAGATTCCTTCAGCTGGTGTGGAAGATAGAGACCATTCTGTTGATCTGACCAGTGAGATTGGCAATTACATGGATGCTCTTGATTACCAATCAGTTGTGGTCTCCTCTTCATCTGATGATGGAAACAACTCCTTCAAGAGAGGAATATCTAGTTTATCCTATTCTGATACTGTAAGTAATCTAGCTGAGAATGCACCATCTGATAATGAAGAAACAGAAAATGCGTTCCCTTTTGCTGAATCTTGTGCATCTGAGACTCTGGAAACACCATTCATCCAGCACACTGCATGTGCACAGACTGGAGGACCCAGTTCTAATGGGGCTGCTTCATCCAAAGAGACCTTCCTTAATGAAAATTGGCTTTGTGAGGTTGGAGAAGAGGGTAGTTCATATCCCACAGATTTACTTCCACCATCTGTTTCCTGGGATATTAGAGTAAGCCCAGTAGTGGCTGCATCAGTGGAACATGAAGTTGATGAAATACCATTTAATGGTGGTAAACATGATTCTGAATTGTCAAATACTGATGAGAATGGGACAAGTCTGTGCAATTCTCCAGAAGCAGTGTCAGTTGATCCTTATGAGAGACAGGATGATACTACATTTACAGTGTCTGCTGAAAAGAATTCTGTAGATGAGTTAGATATTGGGAACGTAAATACCTCTTCTAATGGTGTGCTGCATCTGTCAAACATTTCACAGCTTGCCCCTGGAAAGGGAATCAATAGTGACTCCTTGGATGAAGTTATTCAGATGGACCATGCCAACGAAAATGATGCTGAAAATTATGTGAACCAAATAATTTCTTCGCCCAAGCCAGTTACTTCACCTACCGAGGAGCAGTTGACTTGTTCAACATTGACAGAATCAGAAATGCATTTAAGTACAACTTTGCTTGCTGACAGTGGTGATGTTGTGAAGCTTGGTAACTTGAATTCTGAAGGCAGTGATGCTGTTTCTGAAGGTGGAGGTTATTCAGAAGACACGAGTCTCTTGACTGATTCTTTGCCTGCTTGTAGCTTTGATGAACAGCAACTATTGTTGCATGATTTCCCACAAGTTAAAACTGACTCAAGAGAGACTGAAGCTTCAAATTTTGAACCAAAAACAGATGTTGATGAAGTTTCTGAGGGTGCAGAGACAGAGGAAATAGAGGGATTTACCCACAGTGTTGATGTAGTAGAACGAGGTACCATCCCTCATGATCTTGACTCAGACATTGAGTCTGAAAAAGCAACTGAAACAGTTCAAGCTGAAGATGTTGCTGTCTCCACTGCTGTTGTAGCTGCTTCTCCTGGCTCTGATGATATTAGCAATTCTTTTTGTCAGTCTCCAAATCCAATTTGTTCTCCATCTAGGAATCTAATGACTTTGGAACAAGCTCTTTTTGGTACTCTGGCTCCACATGTGGAAGGTTCAAAAATTAATGTGGTTCTTTCTCAAGAATTTTTTGCACAATTAGAAACACCAAAGGAAAGACACAAAGTGGAAGTGGCTCCTGCAGATAATGAGATAAGTTCTCAAGAAAGTCATATAGAATCAGTGGTGCAAAATGAAATGAATCAAGCAGAAGTTGTCCCTACAGATTCAGACTTCACTCCATTGATTTTGAATAACTATTCCAATGTGGAAGATGTTGTTTCCTATTGTTACCTGGCTGAGCCCACCAAAAACAACTTGAGCATTGGTCATGAAACTGCTCCAGCAGTATCTTCAGAACTAAGCGATCAAGAGTTGGGATTAAGATGTTTTCATGAAAGCCATCTTGAGGATAATATAGAAGATGTAGTGTCATCAACTACTTTCTCAGGCCCAGGAACTTCTTTAGATCAGTCAGCCAACCTGCAAACTGAACTAACTATGGGAAATATCCAAGTAGAGGAAGAAAACTTCAGTTCATCAAATCACCTGTCCAGAAAAACAGATTCTCAGGTAGATCAGGAAAGGTGCCTTCATGCTTCTGTTGTGCATTTCAAAGAAGATTCTCTGAGCCAACCTTCAGCAATGGAGCTTTTACCACAACTGGCAGGAAAGGAATTTGAGAGTAATAAGCAAGGGATGGATTCAGCAGATTCAGTTGTTTCTACCTTTGGTCTGCTTCCTGAGGCAACTCAAGTTAGTATGGAGGAAATGCCACCATTGCCCCCTCTTCCCCCAATGCAGTGGAGGATAGGGAAGGTTCAGCATAATTCTGTAGCTTCTCACAGGGAGTTGGTTGGTCAGGGATCATTCCCGGGGATACTGCAGCATACATCTGAGCAGAAAGCTCAATTTGGTTTATCAGCATTTCAGGGAGGGTTTGTACAGCCTGAAAGCCTATTTTCAAACCTTGCATGTGTAGAGGAAGAGAAGTCTTGCCATGCATCTGAACAATTAGTGGCAAATATGGTGCAGCCTACTCCATTCTTGATGAACCTTCCAGCTATGGTTGACAATTCTAACAGTCAATACTGTGGTATCAGCTTAGACAGAACTCAATCTGTGAACTCATTTTCAACATTACCTGAAATGTATAAGGAAAGGCCTGAAGCTGAAGTTGGTTCAGAAGGCAAGAGGGTGCAATCCAATGACCCACTCTCTTTAGTGCCTGCAATTGAGCATAAGACTTCTAGAGTTGATCCTCTATCCTTGGTTGAAACACCAACCCAGCCTCAAAACCAGTTTGTATTGGATACCAGTTCAGAGATAGAGGTATCTCAACACTCTACACGAATTTCTGATGGAGAACATGATAATCCTACCTATCTAGATGTGCCTTCATTAAGTGAGACACAGGCTCCAGTGGAAGAGCTGCATCTGACAAATTTCTTGGAGGATCAGCAGCAACATAAAAATGTAGAAGAGCAGCCTCAGCATGGTCTGGTAACTTCAGAGGGAGAAATAGTGCAGACATCAAATGCATTTCCCTTGCCTGGTTTGTCAGTTCCAGAAGGAGCATGGTCCTCAAAGACATTTTCTCTATCACAACCTGCAGAAGTTGGAAAGGCAAATGGGAATCCATCTGTTAAGATGCCTAGACCTCGAAATCCTCTGATTGATGCTGTTGCTGCCCATGACAAAAGCAAGGTGGATGATTTTTCTATCCAATTTCTTTACCGTCTTTCTTTTGTGAACTCTGGTACTTGTGGACTAACCCTTTTAATTCTCTGTAGATGCGGAAGGTAACTGAACGGGTTCTGCCTCAGATTGCACCAAAGGTGGATGAAAGAAATTCATTGCTGGAACAGATACGATCCAAGGTTAGAAACTCTGTTCCCTTTGTATGTAATTCTTTACATACCTTTAACAAACTTTAGACTTCAATATATATTTTTTTTTATGGGATATACTTCAATATTTTAAATATAACAACTGGTACATTTTATATCCATAGTCCTTCAACTTGAGGCCTGCAGTGGTAACAAGACCCAGCATTCGGGGTCCCAAAACCAACTTGAAGGTTGCAGCAATCTTGGAGAAAGCAAATTCAATTCGCCAGGTTTCTCTCTCTCTTTCTTACTCATTTGTTTTCTCCCTTTCTCTCATATACTCTGTCTAAGATGATGTATTTTCTATAGGCATTGGCTGGAAGTGATGAAGATGAAGATGCTTGGAGTGATTCTTGAAAAGACCTGCTCCCCATGATGGAACTGTACCTCAGTCCTCCGTGGTTCCATATTAATTTCCCCCCTTCAGTGAATATGAAATATACTGTCTGATCTATTCTTTCCTTCCTGCTCCATGTTCATGAATCATGTATTATAATACCCTCCTCTTTCCTCTGTGCTCCTCTCTTACATGACGGAGATGTTTTCAGCAGCTCCTTGCTCTGCTATATCAGCAGAACTCCAATGTCGGGTCAAAATGCTTATACAAGTTATGAGGTTCAGCGTGCAAGCGCTGTGTACCTGTTAAAAAGGGTATCATTATTTTAAGATCTTGTAAGGTGTAAATTGGTTTTGAAGTGGTATAGGTTTTGGTATGATAGCATAAGCATAAAATTACTTGTGCAGTTTCACGGTCCTGTATGTATTGAACCTACAAATGCAGCCTTTTAGCCCTTTTTATTTTCACTAGCATAAAAATAGTGTTTGTAGAACAGTTGTTGGAGTCATGCGTTCCCAATGTTCTCCGCTGGGATTATTTAAAGCAGTTAGTTTCAATCTTCTTTTATTTTTGCATGACATGATTGCCAATGTCCTTTCTCTGATCATTTTCTGCACAACTACATTTGTGTCTTCCCATGTTTCTCAAAATTCACTGTCAACTTCTTTTGGGATCATACAAGCATGAACTGTTCTAACAGATTATCTTGATATCATACCTCGTTTGGGATATATGCTCATCATCATGAGCTACCAATTCAATCCTTTATATGCGTAGATAAATATACCTCAATTAGGCACCGAGTCAAGGATATATTAATCGAAAAACAGATGTCTCCAACGCAAGTATTGGTTGGCACTTGTATCTTTCGTTACAATTTGCATCATTTATAGTATTCTTTTAGTTAGGGTTCCTTGTCAAATTCCTTAATTGAACTCAAAACTAGGGATGGTTCACGTGGAAACCATAAAAAAAAATTGAAAATGCGGTTGCCTCTCAAATTAGAAAGAGTTGTGAATAATTTTAGAAATGGTAATGATTTGTTTACCGTTTATCTTGTTTTGAACATTACATGAACACATGATCAATGAAGTTCTGTCCACAAATCAATATTTCTAAAAACAAATTATTAAATTTAAAAAATTGCACAACTCTTTTTTTTCCCCAAAATGGATGAACTTATTGAGAAACCAAACCTCTATAGTTTGCCATTCATATTAAAAATGAAAAAACCAACAA